AAAAAAAAAATCTTATTTTTAACCACATTCTCCAAAAAATCACTATTATAAAATACATTTTTCCATTCTCTCTACAAAAAAAAAAAGTCTTGAAAAATAAATTTTGAAATAGTGATTTTTTGGGGAATGTATGGTTGAAAATGATTAGTAATTAGTCATGGCTTTTTTATGGCCACTGTTAATTTTTCCAAGACCTTTTTCTTTCATTCTTTTTTTATTTTTATTTGTAGAAAGAAATGGAAAATATATTTTGAAAGAGTAATTTTTTGAAAAATGTAAAATTAAAAAAATAGAAAAAAGTCTAGGTTTACGTATAATATTATTTTATTGGAAAATGTGTGGATAATAACCTAAATGGTCATTGAACTTTGCAAAAGATTTCCACGAAGTCGTTGAACTTTAAAAATCACCACATTGATCACTAAACTTTACAATTCGTAATCTTGTTCATCACTGACCTCACATGGCTGCTTGTGCAAATGCCAAATCAATCGAGACATAATGCCACACACACCCACGTCAGCATTTCGTCAATTTTTTGGCGAATCGTGAGATCAATGATGAATGTGATTACAAATTGTAAAGTATAGTGATGAATATGGTGATTTTTAAAGTTCAATGACTTCATGGAAATGTTTTACAAAGTTCAATGACCATTTGGTTATCCCCCCTTCTTGTGAAAACTAATTACATATGTAGAAATGAGGTTTAAACATTGGGTGACTGTATCGACACTAATGAGTTTAATAAGGGCACTACATTTTAATTGTGTTAAATGTCTCTTACTTTAATTATAGTCATACTTATGTTTCCGGTTTTTTTCTTCTTATTCTTATCTTCAATCCTCTATTGATTAGCAAGTATCCCAAATTACTGGTTTCTTTCAAAAATTCTATTAGGAGGACATAAAAGAATTGATTAATTATATTCACACTATTGACAAGAATAAGAGAAGATAATGAGGGATAAAATGAGAAAAAGCCAATACTTTGTATATATTTTGTTGCTATGGAAATGGTTGTTTGACGGGTTTTGTTTGCCATGGAAAACTAATTCGACCCACCCCCCACACGTGCACCAATTGAAGGAAATTAAGGAAACCATATTGGTGGGAATATGGTTTCCAAGTTATTATTATTATTATTATTGGCAATGTACACAAATTTTATCATCAATTGTAAAAAAAAAAAAAAAAAAAAAAAAAAAAAATTCCTTTTAATGAACAATTTTCTTAACAAACAAAGTCAAACGAACACGAAAAGATCCAAAATTTAAATATTTTCCAAGTGAAAAATTATACCAATCAAATACATTTAATTAACAATTTTCAGGAAAACAATTCTAGACAATTCAATTCCCTGATATTCATTTTCTTTCCACCAAATTTCACTTTTACAATCAAACGAACCCTTATTATTGTTTACTCAGAAATAAGTCTATCCCAGTCAACTATTGGACAGAAGTAACGTAGGCCTTTGGACCACCCCCATGAAATCGCTTTCATAACCCAACTTGCATGGGTCTCTTTTCTGGTTTTAAGTTGGTCCTAGGGGAATTAGATTCACATAAAATAATTGAAATCGCTTTCTTTGAAACTAAACCAGGTAACGGAATCAGAGCGGTTCCATCCTTGGCAGGATTTTAGAGAATTGAAAATTGGATCAAATTAAGTGAACTAGAGTGCATTGTAATTTTATTTCCACACCCCTTACCACTAACTTCATTTTTTTCTCACTCAATTAAGCATTGTAATCCTGAATCCATCCCTGCTTGAATCATTATTTGGAAATGACCAGTTCTCGGATTTCAGCTCGACTATGGAGCCAGGCAGGTCGGTCACGTAACAACCCAATCTGTGCCTTTTACAATCTATAGAATAATGCTATTATGTCATTTTATTGCAGAATACAACACACCACCTTTTTATTGATTCTAACATCACAAACAGTTACAAGAAAAAATAGTTTGTCAAGTACTGA